CCCCCCCCCCCCCCCCCCCCGCAGGGCCAAGCACTATCCTGTTTCTGCAAGCCTCCCTGCTGGAAGAGCAGAGCAGAGACAAATCGTCCGAGGGGCAAGTCTTAAAGAAGAAACAGAGCCCCCTTCTTTTCCCCAGCTCCTCACCCCACCACAAGATTCTCTCTCAGTAGATGTGGACCCACAAGAAGTAGCAGACTGACCTATTGGGTTCCTTCCCTAACCAATTTATTAAAGGGTCTGCAGCTAATCCATAATCAGTCAAATGTGGATGCTAGAAATGGTATCTCGGGGAGTAGGCGTGGGATTTTCCTCAGCTCCCCCTGCCCTCTTTTCCCAGTCTCACCGGGAAGCCCTCCTTCAAACAGATGGCACCTGCTTGCAGCAAGGAGGCATTGACACCAAGCTTCTAGAATACAATCCAGAAAATACAGAGAATTTAGAGTTCACAATATAAAAAACCTCTTAGAAGATCCGGACAGGGAATAATTGTTTGTGTTCTTCTCCAACCAGAGGTACGGAACTATATCTGTGATGAATGCGGCCAGACGTTCAAGCAGCGCAAACATCTGTCTGTCCACCAGATGCGCCACTCGGGAGCAAAGCCACTTCAGTAAGTGCTGGTGCCGATCCAGGAGCCTGCTTAAAGCTGTATTTAGAAGCTTTCTGACAGAGTATGGCCTTTACCTGTAGATATGCCATCAGATGGGAGATCTCACACACACACGCACACCCTTTTAGCCCTGAAATGATTTTTATTACTTACACATCCTCTAGTAAGAATGCTGGTTCTCGGAATAAGGTTTCTAAATAACTCAACCAGGAGGGCCTCCTTTCTGTAAAATAAAAGCAGCTGCCAAGTGTGGCTGTTCCTGCAAATGCCCCTTTTTCGCACAAGAAGTGGCTTCCTGAATGCTTGATATGGAATTTGGAAGGTTTTTCAAATAGGGTGGGAAGTCCAGCTAGAATGTACAGACCTGGGGACATTTTTACTCACCTCTGCGAAGCTACGTAAAGGTAGATTTTTCATGTCCTTTGTGGGGGTGGCACCCTCTGCTCCGCTCTGCTTCCCTTCCCCAGGTGTGAAATCTGTGGCTTCCAGTGCAGACAGCGAGCCTCTCTCAAGTACCACATGACCAAACACAAAGCAGAGACAGAGCTGGAGTTCGCTTGCGACCAGTGTGGGAAGCGCTTTGAGAAGGCCCACAACCTGAACGTTCACATGTCCATGGTGCACCCCCTGACCCAGACGCAGGAGAAAGCCAAGCGGGGTGACCCCGAGCCCAAGGTGCTGCTAGACACTGTGGAAGGCCAGCCTGTAAAAGCAGAACTGAGTGCGCAGCAGGAGCCCACCTGAACACCTGCTGGAAGGAGCGCCCTGAAACAGCATTGCATAAATCTCACAGAGGAGGAGTTTGTGTACGTTTTAATGGGTTCTTCAGAAGAGGACCCTGGGAAATAACTTCCGCTTGCTTGCGAAGAGCTTTCCCTCGCTGTGGCCACTCTCTCCCTGTGCTTACGCCGACTGTGGTTGCAACGTCTTACGGAGAAATCGCTCCTCTGCCAAAAGGGAGGGCCCATTCTGCCCTCCCCGTTGACATGCTGATGATCAAAAGGCATCACACCTGTTGTAAAGGTGCATATAGTTCATAGACACCCCTGAATTCCCTGTGATGGATCTCAACAATGATGAAAACTTGAATCCAGACCAGATGTTTTACATTAAATTCCAAAGCCAATCTCAAAATGAAAAACAACATTTGTAACCTAATTTTTATTGTTACAAAGTCATAATTATGCTTGTAATAAATTATTTACACCGTACTCTGGACAGACTCGGCTGCGAGGCACGTCCTCAGTTTGTCCATCTTTGGCTGGGGTGGGGGGCTGCAAACACTTGTCTGGGGCCCTGGCTGGTGGGCTTTGGCCTTCAGAAAAGCAGGAGTCCTTCCTCAAGCGAATCCCCTCCTGTGCGGACGAGGGCAGCCTTGAGCTCTGGGTCCAGAACGCCACAGAGGTCCAACATCTGGGAAGGGAAAGAGAGGCTGATGTGGCTCTGACCTGGAAGCAAAATCTTTAGCAGCAGAGCAGAGGGGCTGCTGTTCGTTCTCCTCATGCCAGTCAGTTTGAAGAAAGAATGTTTGTCGAGCGGCGGTGTTTCCCAAAGCATTACATCACCTCACAGTGTCCAGCGACTATAGATAAGATTGGTCAGAGTAGCCCAAAGCCGCCGGACAGGCAGTACCTTAGTATGAAGGATCAAGAGTCTGGGGAAAAGGGAAGCTGCCTGTCCGTCGGGCCAGGCTCCATCTAGCCCATGGTGTCTGCTCTGACTGGCAGCAGCTCTGCGACCAGCTTCCGTTTGACTAGAGAAGCTGGGAGATCCTCTACGTGCAACGTGGAAGCTCTGCTGACTGCCTATGTCTCTCGCCCCCCGAAATGAATTTTCAGGCAGTAGAGTCTGCCTTGCTGTCGGGATGAAAAGGCTGAAGGTGCGAGGGAGGCCAGCTGAGGCCAAGGAGCTCTGAAGGCAAGCAAGACATGCAAATGACGGAGATTCAGGTTGGACCCCGGCTTCTGTGGTGGAAGGAGCAGAGAGAGAGGACTGGGAAAGTCCTGCCAGAGCCATCCAAGTCCATGTCTCTGTCCTTCCAGTGTGCTAGAGCTGATTTATGCATGCTGTCTATGTCCTCCTAGCAGAACTGCAAAGTTCTCTCAGTTCCAGTAAAGGCTGAATTTGAAACCTGTGTCGCCCCAGCAAAGTGTATAGGGAAAGCTTTGGGAATGACAAAGGTTAAAGTAAGAAGGGCTGCCCTTTAGACTCAAGGAGGTTCAACAGAACAAGGACCGTGCCACTGGGTATTTCTGGCACTCACCTCTTGGAGGTTGGAGCAGCTCTCTGGAGGACACTGGGGGATTCCACAGAGTAGGAGCTGTCGCGCTCGTTTGATCAGCATTAATGGATCTCCCTAGAGAAAACAAACCAAACCAGCTTTGTAGGCGATTCAGTGTAAGAATGGCGGGATTATCTTCTCCAGCCATTCTGCGTGTCTGGCCATGCTTAAGTCTTTTCTCAGACAGTGAGTAATTGTATGCTCACATGTGCTTACACGTACTAATGTATTATTCTTGTTCAGACATCGCCTTTGATAGCCTTCTGCAGTTGTGTTTAAGTTTTCATCAGCCTGGGGGTTCGGATTGTCCTTCCCAGAATTCTCAGCCTTTGGCCATGCTGGCTAGGAATTCTGGGAGCTGCAATTCCAGCAGATCTTTCGTGTTAGGGAAGGCTGCTTTCTCTATTTTACAGGGCCAACCAACACAAATGCAAAACTGAAGGGCAAAATTGTCTGCAGCAGCAGTTACATTTCCTTGTGATGCAGCAGCACACTCTCCTCCCTTGTGGTATGTGTGCAAACGCACAGCAGCACCACTCAGCCCTATTTGGAGTGCTCTCTGGGTGAGCTGGGCGCTTCCCAATTAATGGATCGTGGAAATCAACCCATCAAGTAGACAGACACCCCATGGATGCCAAGAAAAGAGAACGACACAGGAAGGAGATGCTGGAGGGCAAACCCAGCCATGCGTGCTCACAAGTCTGCTGACGTGTAGACTTCGCTCCCCCTCGCTTGGTCCGAGCGCTGCGGTCCCTTCTGTAAAGAGCTGGAGCAGCTGTGTGTACATGTCAACAGCAACGTACAGGAATGTTTGCTCTCTGATAAGCTGTTCCGCATCAAGGGCGAAGAGGAGACTGGGGAAAAGCAGCACTCGTTAACCATGAGCAGACAGCTGACCAATTCAGGGCATCTCTCTATTCCCCAGAGGAGAGAGAGGCTGCAGGCAGGGTCCAAGCTGGCCCTTGACTGCCTATTTTTACCTGAACATTCGAGTTAAGTGTCGGGACGATAGAGGGCAGGAACCCATTTGAAGAAAAAAAATAGCACTTCGCACACTAATTAGGACAATTAGTAGCCTGCAATCTTGTGAGAACATCTGAGCAACTATCATAAGCACATAACTAAAGAATAGATGCCCTGAGAAAGGCTAAGTTACTGCCAAAGGAAAAGAGAACAAGACCAAGGCTTGACCCGCACCCCGGAAAGCCCTCCTGGCCCCTCTAAGGACTCCACCAGCCCCAGAGGGCCCACACCCGACCCCTAGTCGGAGTAAGACAGGGTGGCTCTTGGTCTAAGAGCGAGGAAAGCGTTCTTCCTTTCCTCCTCCTCTTTAAAAGATGCCAACTGTTTTGAAACAAATTGGCTTGGCAAGTTCCTTCTGACATTTCCCCGCTGCCCTTCTTTTCCTTGAAGTTCAATTTCTTATGTGCAAAGTGCAGTTCTGAAGTTTACCTGTAGAAGGCAACCGGCAACATCTTCACGTGCTGATCGGATACGGCATCCCGCAAGACTTCATAAAGCCTACAGCCTGCAAGGCCAAAAGGTATGGGAATGCCAGGTGTCATTTTTCAGAGTGCTGCTATCAGTCCTGTCCTGAAGCTGTAGCAGATGAGAGATTTTGTACCTTTTCCTGCGGGACAAAAGACGGCCAGCCAGCCAGCCCCTTGTTCCGCCAAGCACTGAAGCACCCTGGAGCTCCATTCCAAAGCTTTGTGAACATCCATGCCTTCCTGGAAATTACAGTTAACATCAATTAAAGTACATTTGTATTTCCTGGTTCTTGGTATAGCCACTGTGCAGCTTTAAACAAACCTCGGCCTCCTCTGTTCCCCAGCGGCAAAAAAAAATGTTTTTCATAACCAACCTCCTCTGCAGTCATCTTCTGAGGATAGGGCTCAAGCCAGTTTACACAGATGATGCATGTTTAAAAGGATCTGTGCGGCGCTTTAGATTCAGTTCCAAAAAGGGGCTTCAGAGCGTGAATCTGCAGCTCTTTAAGGCAGCTGTGTCTTCCTGAGCTCACACAGCTTTAAACAATATGAGGCAAGGCAGATTCACCACGTCTGCAAAGGTCAAACCGGGGTGGGCTTGGCAGTTACCTTCTTCCATTTCCCTGTCACAACCAGCCAGTATGAAAATAGAACTCGCCTGGGGGGTCACTTGTGCTGAGATGAAATCCATGACAGAAAAGAAGAGGACGTACACCAGGAACTGCCAGTTTAAATGAGAACAACAAATAAAAACAGCCACAATAGTTACTGACTTGAAGCTCAAGCTCCCAGTCCATCCACCAGACTATCAAATGGCAAGTCAACCTTTCTGTCCACTTTGGGGGTCCCCTCCCCTTCCTCTAGCAGTATTTTTTTTAATTCTGCATTTGGCTAGACCTCTCACCTAAACAGATCTTCCTCCTGGAAGCGGAAACTGAAATAACTCACCGGCTCTGCTTTGGGCCCCAACCTTTTCAGCACTTCCCCCCTTTTTTCATGCTCTGCGTGCTGCTGCACAGTGAAGTGGAGGAAAGCAGCAGAAACCCACGTCCCGTTGGAGGGCAGGGAGGTTGCTTCCGATGAGAGAAAGCTAGGAGGCAAAGGCAAAGAGTCAGTGGGAGAGTAGCCCAGTCAGTCCTAAAAGCTGACCGCTGGTGGCTCCAGTAGGCCTCTGGACACAGCCCCTGAGTGGGCACACATCCCAGCTGGATTTCTGCTCTCTGTCCTCTCAGATGGCATCCCCTCCTGGAAGGCGCAGGGAGGGCTCACTTCCTCTTTCGCCTTCCCCGGGAGAGAAGCCATTCCAACCACTAGGCCGGTCAGGGAGGATACGACCGCCTCTCGAGCTTCTCTGAAGCACGTCCCTTGGCAACCGCTTGCTTTTAGCACTGCCGCACTGCGAATGCGCACCTGCGCCAAAGGTGAGCCACTTGAGGAGGAGGAGGAGGAGGAACAGCCGGTAAAGGGCATGGGACAAGCTGGAATGAGGGCCTGCTTGGGGTACGGAAAGCCCCCAGGGCCACACAAGGGCAGGTGGAATTCACGGGATCAAGGGAAGAGACAAAAGCTGCTGGACCGCAACCCCTCTCCATCTCCTCTCCTCTGCAATCTGACCACCCCTTTGCCGGAGCAGCAGGTGTGAGCACCTCACAGAAGCTCAACAGCTGCACTGATACAGCTCCTTAGACCTACCTGTTGAAAGAAGACTGTAAATCCTTGAGGCTTTGCAGCCCCCGTGGGAGGGGAGCACCCAAGAGTCTCTTCCACTGTGAGCAAAGCACAAGCTCCAGCCTCTGCCACCACCGCTTGAGGAAGGCAAAACGGCAGATGTTTTGGGAAACGACATAAATTTATTGCAGAAATGCCCTACTTCGTGCTGGACTTTACTGAAGGTCTTCCATCCGGAGAATCCCATGGATCCTCACCCTTCTACTCCTAGCAATGCCATTGCAATGGTGGCGCCCAGGGCTCTCCATCCCCAGGCCCACCATAAGCCCCTTTCAAGCCTTCCTGGGCAGCTGCTGTTCTTTCAGCTAAAGGAAAGGCTGGGGAAGAAAACAAAAAAGGACTGAGGTTCTTATGGACTGGTCACACAACGAGCCTGGGTTATGAGGACCTCTGCATCACCGATTAATGGAAGCGGCCCTCTACGACTGCCTGAGACCTTTGAGGATTCTTTTTAAGGAGAGTTTTAGAAATGAAGGGTCTCTCACCACAGCAGAACAAAAGAGGACAGGACACCTGGCTTGGCACGAAGAGAGCACGGCTGTCACCTCCTGGGCAGGACTGTTGCACTCCAAACTGGTGCTCAGCAGGCCCTGAAGAGCAGCAGACCCACCAGAGTGTGGGAACCCCAAGCAGAGAAACTGCACTTGGCACGCCCCACCAGCCAACATCATCATCATCATCTAAATGTATATGCTGCCCAACTCCCGGCGCCTTTAAAGCACTTCCAACCCACAGACTGCAGTGACGCAATGCCACCCCCTTGCCCTCATTATTCTCCGTTGCAGCCTCCTCCAGCCACGGCCTGTCCCCCCACCACTGAACCCACGAGGAAAGTGAGCAGGGGACCCAGGCCACCTAGAGGCTGTCCACACCCACCTTCCCCTCGTTCTTGCAGTTTCCCATTTTAACACAGTTCCAGGAAAACTCTCAGTCCCCACAGACAAACTTCTGACAACTCTCCTATTTACAGCCATCAACTGGTTCTCTTCCATCATCTCAACCTAAGTCCCCAGAGGATGACAACCGAGGCTCATCTTTTGGGGTGTGCTGTTTTCCTCTTTCAGTCATACAGGCACCTCCATTTCTTAACAGTAAGGGGTGACTCATCCTCATCCTCACACAGACACACATGGAGTGAAATAACAAGCCCTGTTGCCTTATTTACCCTGAAGAAATGAGCGGTGATGTCATAAGGCAGAGAACATCCTCTGGAGCAGCTATTCCTCTGTAACAACAACAGAATTTTTTTTTAAAAAAACAGTGCCCATAGAGAATGGAAAGAGATAAGGAAAGCATTCCCAAGAAATTGAGGTAACAGCTCCCAAGTCAGCCCTCCACTAGAGGTGCTTCTGCTACTTAATGAAGTAGCAGGCTGACAGCAGAACCCATCTTGGATTTTGCTCCTTCTTTTGAGTCAGCAGGCAAGGCAGTAAAATGCTGTTAAAGGAACTAGGTTCACCAACACTGATTCCCCAGCACAACAGGCTGGAAAAGAAATCCGTAACAAAAATCAACAGACTCAAAATGCCAGTGGGAGTCACTCTTTTTAGCACGCCCGAGATATCAGAAGGGGAACAGCCTGGTTTACGCGAAGTAATACCACTCCCACGTTGCAAAACAGATCACCTGGGGCAGTTACCAAGAACACTGCGGGTGCTTAGGAAATTATACGCACCAGTTCCGTGTTTACAAAAGAGAAAAACTCTTCACAGGCCACAGTGATTTCCCCTCCTTTCTTCTGTGTTGCCACAAGAACAGACGGAGGCAGGCCTAAGAGAATCCTGAGCAAGAAACAAACTCCTTTTAGGCTAAGCCCATCCCATCTCCCCTATTATTCAGAGCTGCAGATCTTGGGGCGTGCAAGCTGCTGACGACGACTGGAATGCGCAGGGCAGAACTGGGCCTTCTTGCCTCCCATCCACCCGCGGAGAAAGCAATAAGGTAAGTGGGGTGAAGCTGCAGGGTGTTTCCCAGACGGCCCCCTTCCTCTCG